CAAATTTTTTAATTTTTAGACACACTTAACATAAATACACATAAAAAGTATAATTTTTGTGAAAAAATCTTTTAAAAATTCAATAAATACCAAAAAATACGAAAATTTAGTATCTTTTTCATATTTTTATGTATTTTTTAATTTTTAAAATATTTTTTTATAAATTTTTTACTTTTTAGATGCATCTAAGTAAGGTACATCTAAAAAAGAAAAAAAAAATGTTTAAAATTTTAAAAATATTCACTAAAAACAAAAAAAAAACACGAAAAACAAAAAAAAATTAGTTTTCAAAAAATTTAATCTAAAAAACTCAAACCAAATACACAATAATTTTTCTAGGCACGAGTTTTTCTGGGGAGCTTCTCACAAAGATCAAAGAGGATAAAAATTTGGGACTACAAAAAAACCGAGGGCCTTTGGGCAAATGCCTAAATCGTCTATTGGATAGGCCACACTTGTTTATCAAAAAAAAAAAAAAACATATAATTGTGATTTATAATTGTAAAAATATCAGAGTTATATCATTAATCATGAGTTTATTGCACTTACTGATAACGTAAGTTTATGATTCCTTAAGAAGTTATTTTATTTCAGATTATTTTTGTTGGAACAAATAAAAGGATTTAATTAAGGTGGTGCTATTAGTACTCTCACTTTCAACCAAAAAGAAAACACTCTATTTTGCTGTTATCAAGCAACTTTTGTACAAATATAAAAACGAAATGTTCTAAATTTACAATTTATATTTTCAAAATGACCTACAATTATGACATAATAGTTAAGCCTTATACAATAGAATGTGTGACAAATTAAAAATTAACATTTACATAGCATGTCATTGACCTCCCAAATAATAATATAGACCTTGAATTAATGAATGGGAAAAGAAGTAAAATGTAGTGGTTTGAGGGGGGATTGTCGAGGTAGTTGGCAAAATTGAGGAGATAAGAACATGATTAATAAAATTGTTTGGTAAGTAGGATAAATAATTGTTTTGAAAGAATTTTTATTTTTATTTTTGTTTTTATTCCATTGTCGCTAGCTGGTCGTCGGGGGTGGCAACTGGTAGTGGTAGTGATATGTATAGATAGAAAAATTAGGTGGACAGATAGATGACATGTAGACAAATAGGGGACGACACATAGACAAATAGGTAGACAAATAAATAACGTGAACAAATATGTGGATGGATAAGTAGGAATAATATAGTTTTTCAAATTATTTTGGCCACTAAAGTTTCTAGATTATGTTCATGTGTGCATTTGGATACAATTATACAAATTAATAATCATTGAGGCCAAATTTAATAGAAAAAAAAAAGTTATTTAAAAATTTGAACAATTTAAATCATACAACAAATTTTATTTATTTATTTTTATTATTTTGAACAAACTGCACCTCACAACCAATTTAATGAGTATTTGTTTGAATAAATTAAGTTGTCCAAATTATAAAATTATCTTTTCGTCTATCAAATTATAAATTTACGATTATTGATTTGTATAATTGCATCCAATTAGACCATTGATGAATTACATTGGATTTATAAAATTTTAGTGAAAATTCATTAAAACTATAACAATGGAGTTCGCGTTATTATAGTTTAAAATTAAAAGACCCTAATCTTATCATTAGAGTAAGACCAATGATCTATACTAGACAAGATATAGATAAATTTGATATTTAACTTCAAGAATTTTTAAACAAAAGTTAATTGAAGAAACTAGAAGCCTTCACTCTAGTCCAGCTTTTATGGTAAGAAACCATGCTGAAATTAAAAGAGGAAAAGCCCAAACGATAGTCAAACGGCTAAATGAAAATTTAGAATTTGATGGATATTTTATTCCAAGAAAAGATGTTTTGATTAACTTAACTAAATGATCAAAAATAGCAAATTCGATTGTAAGAGTGAATTTTGGCAAATTCAATTGATTGAAGAGTCAAAAAAATTAATCGCTTTCAGTACACCTAGGGCACATTACCACTAGAATGTTATGCCTTTTGATTTAAATATAGCACCACAGGTATTTCAACGGTAGATGGATACAATCTTTAAAGATCGTAAGGATTGTTGTGTAGTTTATATTGATGATATACTTATCTTCTCTAAAACCCAAGAGGAGCATAAGAAACATTTAAAATTACTTTGTGAAAAATTACAAAAACGTGGAATTATTTTGTCACCAAAAAAGATTGAGTTAGAAAAAAAATCAATTGAATTTTTGGAAATAACTTTAGACTAGAAAAGTTTAAAATTACAGAAACATATTTTGTCCAAAGTACGAGAATTTCCTGATACTCTTGAAAATATAACACAATTACAAAGTTTATTAGGTATTTTAAATTATGGAGAAATTTTATCAAAAATCTTTCAAAAATATAAATTCCTTAGTTAATCAAATTAAGGAAAATGCTCTTTTTGGATAAACTTGAAAGAAACTCAAACTCACACTAGGGCATTATTCATCACCATCCCAAGCAACGATGGTGTATGGATAAACTTGAAAGAAACTCAAACTCACAGCAAGCCTGACCTTATTTAGATGTAGAACTGTCAAGAACTGCTCTACTTGTTTGAATCTAAAAATGGTCCCCCTTCTTGCTACACATTTTAAATGCACTACAGGAAATAAGACAATTAATGGCGTTTAATTAACGGCGTTTTATTAAACGTCACGTTTGCTAATTTTTAACGGCGTTTTGTAACCGTCGCATATTTTTTAAAACCAAAACGGCACCGTTTCCAATTGAAGGCGTTTAAAAGCGCCTCCGAATGCTGTAGCTACACGCGCCCCTTTATGAAACCCTTATTTTTTAATCTGAGTGCGAAGTGTAATAGCAATTTCGCGCACATCTCTCTCTCTCTCTCTCAGCGACGAAGAAGACGGAGGAGATCAATCGGCTGTTCTTGAAGCTTAAATACGCACACATCTCTCTCTCTCTCAATCCGTATACGCACACATTTCTTCATCGAAGCTCCATCTGCACCTGCGATTTCAAAGATTCAGAGCGATTTCGAAGCGATTTCGAAGATTCAGATGGATTTCGAGATTCAGAGCGATTTCGAAGCTCCATCGCCACCGTCATCTGCACCGGCGAGGTAGCCAGCTCCACCGTCTCTCTCTCTCTCTCTAGATCTATGAAATCAATGTTTTGAAGGCATTCTTACTTGAACCTCATTTGCAGAGATTCAGAGAGAGGCATTCTGACTTGATCCTCATTTACTGAACTTTAATCGATACTCTCTCTCTCTCTCTCTATCGAATTTTACTGCATGTATAACATTTGTATACATCAATATTTGTTGAATTGTTGAATTGTTGAATTGATCTGTTAGGTTCTTTTTTGATCTCTCTATATACATATACATACAGCACACCCTATCTCTCTTTCTCTCTCTCTCTCTCTTTTCTGGAAGTTCATTTTGATGGCGTCTGAAACCCTAGAAGACAAGAAACAAGAAGAAATAGCTAACGTCGAAGACAAAGGTGAAGTGAAAGAAGAAGGGAAAACAGAGGAGGGTGAAGAAGAGAAGGAAGCGGAAAAGAAAGAAGAGGATACGAAAATGGCGGAGAAGGAAGAAGAAGATGAGGAGAAGGAAGAACCTGAGGTGAAAGGTGAAGAGAGTAAGGAGGAAGCAGAGGAGGTAAGCAAGAAGGCGAAGAGAGGCCGAAAGGGTAGTTCGAAGAAAGCTGCAAAAGATGAGAAGGCGGCGAAGAGTGGGCCCGGCTCGAAAGAGCCTGTTACGCCAATTGAGAGGCCGATCAGGGAGAGGAAGACTGCCGAGCGGTATTCGGAGCCTTCGACTGGGAGAAGTGCAAGCAAAGCATTGTCCATTGAGAAGGTGTTGACAGTAAATTTATGCTATACTTTTTTTTCCCCCTTAGTAATTGTGAATTTTCTCACATTGTGTTTTGTAAATATGCAGGGTCAAGGCACACAGCTTAAGGATATACCAAATGGTATGTGTTCACACATAAATTGTATGGGTGTATTAGAAGCTTGAATAATATTTTTGCCTTGAACATCCAACAATGCACTAAAATGTGGAATTATTTTATCTGCACTATTTGAAATGTCCAATCATTTCAGTTGTCTGACCTGCCTATTGAAAACCAAAAAATTTGTAGTGAAGTGTATAGTTGATAAAATCATATTGTGAATCAAAATATTAATTTTGCTAATTGTGAATCAAATTGAAATGAGAATTGTAAGATTTGACACAAAATATAAAAATGATATTAAATAATCGGATATATGAAAAATTAAAATAATGGATTTTGGTAATTTTGGAGCTTTGTGATTTAAAGTTGCCAGATGTTGAAAGCAAGTGGTTCTTTGTAATATAACTCTGGTATAACGGTGTTACCCAAACTGTAAAATAGCTTTTGTTTGGACTTGTACTTACTGTCTAGATGTGCACTACTGTATGGCTCAAGGAAAGAGGGGGGGGAATTCTGCGTCATCTAGTGATAATTGCCTACAAGCCTTGATGCATTGGAAGCAGTAACTTTGCCGGAGGATGAGGCCCACAATTTGATGTTAAAACTACTCACCAGAATTACGTTAGAACTTTGTTTACATATTTACATTTGCAGTGATCCCTTTCATTTCAGGGGAGAAAGGAACTGGAAAAGGGGGGGGGTGTGGGCTTTGCTTGTCTGCCATTGGGACTTATCTTTTCATTCTTTTGGCGTCCAAAAGCTGTTATCACTCGTTCACAGTATATTAAGGTACCTTTTGCATTGTGCTTTATGTATCCATATGAAATTACCTACTTCTGACAACTTTGCCGATGAGAATTTTGAACTGAAGCACACCGGCCCTAGTAAGCACAAAACCCCTCGCAAGTACCTTATCTAAACTCTAGGCTTTCAAGTTTGCCACAAGAATTTTGATTTAATTTATGGGTTTTATTAGGTGGGTTTGGGATTGGAATGAAATTTTAGAACCAAGCTTGAGATAGATTTTTATGACCGTTGTTTGGCCAGACCGGACTTGGTCACAAGATTTCTCTGTTTTTTCTAGCATAGGCCCCAGCCCAGCCCCATTAATGCCCTTAGTCCTGATGGTGTTCGCCATCCTCGAGTTGCAAGCTAGTTAGTATCGGATGGTGTTTGCCATCCTCAAGTTGCAAGCTAGTGTATGGGTAGGATCTTTGTGAAATAATTATTGGTTTGCCATCGGTATAGTCAAATAAATACTTATGGCTAATGGGAAAATATTTCATTGAAAACACCAGCAAGTAGGCTGGATAGGTAGTATGTTCATAAACAAGGGTACAGTGTGTAGATTCTGCACTACTGGTTGATCAATATAACGCATTTACTGGTACTAAAGTCTATACTTTGTGGCCTGGCAGATTTTTTAACTACTGCACTGAATTTCAGTTTTTTATTTTTATTTATTTTGGGTACAGGTTGGATGGGCATCATGTTGTGTTTGGGAAAGTGCTTTCTGGGATGGATGTTGTCTCCAAGATTGAAGCTGAGGGCAGACACAGTGGGGATCCCAGAAGCGAAGTTGTTGTTTCTGATAGTGGTGAATTACATTCCTGAATATGCTGCCGCTTTTCATAAATTGTGCTAAGAATGATGATTGTAAATTACTGGTACCTCTCTCTCTCTCTCTCTCTCTCTCTCTCTCACACACACACACACACACACACACATGCGCACACACACAAACACATGAAATGCATGCTCACGCGGCCTGTACGACACTAGTTTATGTCTTAAGACAAATGCTCATTTTTCTTTCACTTTCTTATACACAGTTCAGTGGTAGAGGCTACCAATCAAAGACTGATATTTGTTGGATAGAAATGCTGATTGTTATGTCATCGACAAAGCTACCTTTGCCGATTGTTGAGTATATGCATGATCCTAAGAATTAGGGAAAGGGAGACACAAAATGATGGCAGAATGAAAACCATTTTACAAAGATGACTGCTTCTCTTGTCACAGGACTGAAGATGACAATATGTGTAGCCAATTTTTCCAGCATCATTAAAAAAAATAAGGAAACCATCAACAATAAATCATTTTCCTTTTAGGCGGATAAGGATTTTTTTTACCAAAAAAAAAAATTCTCTTTTATTATATCATTAGTATAGTGCACATATACAAGTTTGATAGTTCTGGGGCGCTGTTTCTCAATGTGGTTGCCTTGTTGATTGAGGTTTGATTGTACAGATTAGTATGATGGCTGGTGAAGTAGAAATTAAAACTTCACCTGGCTCACCTTTGTAATTTAGGCCCTTCTGTTTTCATTTTATAGAGTTGATTAAAAAAATTTCGGAGCTCTTTTCTTCACTCTCATGAATGTATTGTTTAACGGGTTGACAGAGGTTGCATTGACTGTTTTGAGGCTTCCTGTATTCTATAAATAGAGGGATTTCTTATTCTATCCTCCATGGGCTTTTGGGTTGCCAATTTGGGTTGGATGTTTAATCAATTTGATTTTTTTGTGGAAAGTCTTTTATCTGCTTGCCTTAGCATTCCTGAATCAGCGATATGGATCAGTCTTGCATATTACACAATTGGGTTTGCTCCAGACACCAGCAGGTAGTAGTGGTCTGCGTGTTCTTGGTTTCTCGTGATAGTTTTTCATGTTTATACTTTTGCTTACCAACTTAAATTCTTCATTAGAAATTTATTCTTCCTACTCTGCATTTAGTGGTCACTTGAACCTGATAATTTATTCACTGACAAATACCCACCATCTGATTCAGGTTTTTCCAGCAGTTATTGGCATTGTTCAGTATACATCAAATGTCTCTCTCTCTCTCTTTCGCTTTGTTGCTATGGGAAGAAAGTTGGTTGTTGTATGCACTTTAGGAACCTGCACATTGATAATGAATATTCTGCTTGGAGGATTTATAGTTGCCCAAAGTAAGCTGCCTGATTTCTATTTTCACTTTTGAGCCTATCTTGAATTAGAATGAGCTTTTAATTTACCAATCTTTATACCACATTGTTGAATATTTGTTGACATTTAGCCAAGTAAGTTGTGGATTCTTTCATGTGATTGTTTATATATTTGATGATCAAAGCACTATATCTACAACCATTCATTTCTTTTTGTGCCCGCAGATGACATCGAGCCATTTATGATATGGGGCTATTATATTTCTCCAGTGATGTATGGACAAAATGCTTTAGTCATTAATGAATTTCTTGACAAAAGATGGAGCGCCGTAAGTTCTATTTTACTATTTGCGTAGTATCTTTACGTTCTCAAAATTCTGAACATTTTTTATCTTATGTTTCTTTTTTCTCTTATTCAGAGCCAGCATTGCTTGTCACCACTACACATTCATAGCACTGTCATCCCGACTAATTTTGCCCATGGAAAGTGTGAAGTAAATCAGTAAGTGAATATGATATATGTGATTCATTATCGTAAGTTTGGCCAGGTTCTGAGCCATGTTGATAAAGTTGGAAAGTAAAATGCATCATAGACAATAGTGTCACGAGGTTGTAAAATGAAGTAATTGATTATCCTAGTTAGCCATATGTTGAATGCTATTGCTTTATTCATTGCTTATATGTGGTTTAGTATATTTCTACTGGGCTGTGGCTCACCCTTTATGGGAACATCATTTTCAGGTTCAGGTGATAAGCTACCTCCCAGGACTTAGCTTGGAAGGATTCGGATTTTGAAGACTTGCCTTTAGTTATTTATTTTAATTAAGATTACATGTAAACATTCAAGCCAAGGGCTTAACTTGTAAATGGGTTAATACTCATTCTTTTGTGTCCAAGTGTTAGCTTGGAAAGATGTAAGCCCTTAGGGCATTTATTTTGGTGTCCCATGAGATGATTTTCAATAAAAGTACTCTGATGAATAATTCAAAAGAATCGTTTTCTTTTAATAGTGCATGTTTATGTTATGTATATTATGGGCTTAATTTGAGGGCGTTACAACAAGTTTTTTGTTGATGGAGAATGGCGGCATGATGAGCACCAACCATTTGTAAGTGGAAATTATGGGCTGGTGAACAGTGTCTTCTTAGCTAGGGAGCCTGATGGGTAGATCTAGTATGGATGTGGATAATGATCCATTAGTATCACATTGGGTTCGTCTCGTTTCATAGAGACTTAGTGTAATGTTATATGCTTATGTGATAACATGTTTATGTGATTATGTGGGTATGGAATGTAGTTTCTAGAATATTGATTGGACCCTTGAGTTCCTAGTAGTCTTGTTGGAAAGGCACTTGATCACTGCTGAACAAGGTTGTGTGTGACCTTTGGCTGGTGTTGATTTTTGTTGCCATAGGACGGCTGATTTTTTGGTTGAGAATTGTGAATTTAATTTTTGAATATGTTATTTTGTGGGTAATGATGATTGGATATTAAATTGTGTTGATTTTTGTTGCCATAGGACTGCTGATTTTTTGGTTGAGAATTGTGAATTTAATTTTTTAATATGTTATTTTGTAAGTAATGATGATTGGATATTAAATTGAATAGGAAAGTGAATTAATGCTGCATTTATAATTTGAATGGGAGTTGTTATTTCATATTACGGATATTCAATTTTATTATAGGTATTTTTTTAGTTTAATCACATAAAATTAGCATAATTTCAAAAAAAAAAAAAAGAGGGTTTCACGGCGTTTTTAAAACGCCACCTAAACTCCAAAAGGTTAACGGTCAATTTTTTTAAAAAGATATGACGGCGTTTTGAAAACGTCGCTAAAATCTTAGTAATGTCATGTAGGGACATTTCACGGCGTTTCTAGAAACGCCGCCTATTCTAATATCGCGACGTTTTAAAACGTCGTAAAGATACAGCGACGGCCGCAGCTTCGACGTTTAGTACTAAACGTCGCAAAAGGAATTAGCGGCGTTTTTGAAAGATATAGCGGCGTCTCTTAAACGCCACTAAAAGTCTGTTTTCCAGCAGTAGCAGCCATCTTTCTTGAAGTTCCTTTCGCAAAACTGTTCCTCGCCATGTACTGCAAGAGCTTCATCCTAGCAGGGCCGTCGTATAAAATTGGAGGCTTTGGATTTGTAAGTCACTTCATTTTGTTTTAAGGCTGTGTTTGGATATTAGATTATTTGATTGGATTTCTGTAAAATTCAGTAACAGAAACCTTGGATGTGAATATGAACACTTCTACCACTAAGGGTGGTAGCCTAGCGGGTGGGAGCTCACTCTCACTCGATTTGGTGAGCAAGTGACTAAGTTTTGTGTCTCTATGGGGGCGACATCTACCTCTACTTCTAACTTTCACTCACTAGGACCCTAGTGCGACTGATTGATGTATGGCTCAAGTTCATCGTGAGAGAGCGCTTGCGATTCTCCCATGTGAAGTACCCTCATTTTGTCAAGCTCATCTAGGCGCTTCTAGTCTGGATCCCCAACAAGTAGGGTCTCCTTTGATCATGCATGAGGAAAATTGTTACGATTGGTTGCGCCCTCCTATCTTTTCATCAAGCCAAAAAAGAAAAGTAAATTACACTTTGTAATCCCTCTTCTTCATCTCTCAAATGTGGATATCAAATCCTAATGCTTTTAATCAAATGCCAATGCCCTTCTTTCTATCCAAATCTGATACAGAAATTGGCCAAAAATTGTCATTGTATGATATGTGGCCTAATTTTGACATTCACATCACAAATTCAGTCAATTTATCTAATAAATTGGAAGGGAAAGGAGACATTGACACTTGATTAAAAACGTAAAAGTTTGATTGTTACAACCAAAAGGTGAAGATGCAAATGTGCAAAATAAGATTAGGTATGAAATGCGAAAACAAATATGATCATTTGAATGGATATGACTCATATAACTTGTAATGGTTTGTGACTCAGGTATTTCCAAAGGGATCTCCAATGCTTGCTGATATAAATGAAGCACTATTGAAGGTGGCAGAGAGTGGTAAGCTGAGGGAGTTAGAGAACAGCATGACTGGGACTGAGCTGTGTTTGGACATGGAATCTGATCATGGAAACCCTAGCTTCAGCCTCAACAGCTTTTGGATACTCTTCATATTAACAGGAGGCACTTCAACGGTTGCTCTTGTGTTCTATGTCATTCTTGGCAAGTGGAAATTCAATCACATGCTTCAGCTCAAGATGATCTGGAGACTTATATTGGCCATGTTGAGCAAAAATTATCAGTTGAGACCGGAACATCACGTGACCATGTGCCCGATTGGTGGTGTTTTATGATTTTATTTTTTTTTGCCATGTTTTGCTCATTTTTCCAATGATATAAGTACATACTACACAATCAGTATTGTGTTCAGAGAACACAAAATTACTTCACATGGAAACACTGGTAGGGGCGGATGTATATAGGGACAAGTTAGCTTCACTGAAGTTCTCAATAATCTCAGCCTTTTATACAAATATTAAAATAATACGTATCAAATAAACTAACATATTTTTACTTATTAAAGGCAAACATATTCAATTTAGCGTGTGTTCATTGGTTTACAAATGTCAAACTTTAACATTGATTAGTGATTGTCAAAAATGACATTTTTCGTGATGAAAATTGTAAAGTATCAAATTTTTAATCGGATGGATGATCAATAGAGGAATAATAATGATAATATTATGTATATTGAGCGAGACATTTTTGTAATATAGAATAAATTAATAAATAATAAATAATAAATATTATGCCCAAGAAAAGAATACATGAAAAGTTTTAAAAAATAAATATTTTTCTTAACTTATTTTTAAAAGTTTTTACATATTTTTCTTAAAAAATAAAAATAAATCAAAAAAATATTTTTTTTTCAAAAAATAAAAAATAATTTGAAATATTTTTTTTTTGTTTTAAAAATAGTGTTTTAAAAAGAGTTTGGTTATGAGTTTTAAAAAGAGTTTTGAATTGAGCGTTTGGTTATGGGTTTTGAATTTTTTTTTATTAGAATCATGATTCTAAAATAAAAGCAATTTTACCTTCATTTTTTCTTTACTTTTTGCATTTTTTTTTGTAAAAAATTAAAAAATCAACCAAAATATATTAATTTTTTGCATTATAATACTGTCAAAAATTAAAAACTTATTAAAATAAACGAGGTTTTCTCCAATTACCCTTGAAAATAAAAGTAAGAAAAAGAGTTACTCTATAGTTTATAGACAAAGTGTTTTTTTTTAACTTACATTTTTTAATTGTGGATATGAATAGAAGATTAGTTATTGCATATTTGGGGAGCTGAAGGGTCACTCACCCTTTCTTACCTAAATTTTTAGGGAATGAGTAATGCTATTCAGATAAAAAATTAGTTTTATTTTTTAGATTTAATGATGTCAGATTCTATTAAATATTTAAATTAATTTGTTCTTTCATTTATTCTTTAATTATTAATCAATTATATACATATATATATATTGATACAAATCAACCAATTAACTTATTAATATATTACTAAATTAAAAAAAATAAATTTGCCTTTGTGTTAAGGAAAGGGAAATACGTGTGTTTGATTTTAGTTTTTTGAATTCAGTTTTTTAAAAATTATTTTTTTATTTTTTTGTTTTTAATGAATATTTTTAAAATTTTAAACAATTTTTTTACTTTTTTATCCAACTAAACACAATATTAGTATTTTGATATATGTCTTGGTTGAATCATAAATATTGTGTTTTGACTCAGTTATACATATACATAGGGGTGTTTGTTTCAGCTTTTCAAAGTTAACTTATAGTTTTTAGCTTTGAAAAAGTTATTCTGGACTGTTTGGTTAAACTTATTTCAAATAGCTTCTGATTCTAACAGCTTATTTTAACTCAAAAAGTTGATTCTGAGAAGCTGCTCACCCATTGTTTCTGATTATCAGCTTCTTCTGTGAACATGTTAATTTATGATTATACTGTTAAATTTTTTTATTTTTTTATTTTTTTAAAAATAGAAAAAGACTTAAATGGACTATAGATTATTATTATTATTTTTTTATAAGAAATGTGGACAATTAGTAAATAACAAAAAATAAAAATTAATTGAAAAAATTATTTCACAGTTTATTTAACAAACACCACTCAGCAACTTAAATTTATAATCCAACAGTTACACCAAACAGATTAACAACTTCTGATTAAAATCATAATTTATAATCTGTTAAGTTATAATTTATAAGCTGTTTTCACAGTTACACCAAACGAGACCATAGTCCACCAAGAAAGACAGTTGGTAACAAGAGCCGAACTTAAGTTTTGAAGGTAAAAAGTTTAATCCTTACCAACTCAATTAATGCACCTTTATTTAACCGCTTATGCCTATTTTTGTACAAATTTAAAAGATGTATATTCCAACATTTTTTTTTTCTTGAGTTGGCAAGATCTTTTTCAGTAACTTTTTAAATTTTTATGAGGCAAAAAAAATTATATATTTGAAATGATTTTTTTAATTAAATAAATAGTTATAAGACTTATATTCCATTTAATATTGTGAAAAAATTTATGACTCATCAAAAAAATATTAAAAAAAAAAAAAAAACTATGTAATTGAAAATGACACTATTATCACCTTTTATAAATATCATAAGGGACAATTCTATTATACACATCCTATATCATATACTCTTTTAGTTATTTTTTTATTTAATTATGACTAATTTTCTTTTTTAGTTATAACATTATTTTGAGATATTTGATTATTACTTTTTTGCATTTGGTTTTATAGATATATATATATATATATATATAAATATTTTAGTTATGATTAAGAAAATATGAAATTATTCTATTTTTTTTTATAGTTATAAGATGTATATAGCACACATCTTTCAGACGATGCATACCACAATCCTTCCCATATGATAAATTCAAAACTTATGACTGAGTTTTATTACAAAATACTTTTGAGTTTGTTTAGAGTTTTTGGTTTGTCTGAATAAGAAACTACATTGTAGTACTCGTACCAATATTGGTACACATACCGATAGAGTTGCATATACAAAATACATATTTTATATATTCTTTAACTGTTGGATACTCTTGTGATGGGTACACCAAGTTGGTGAAGATATGGTTGATTTATTAGAGTTCTAATTTACTTGAATTCTAAATCATTTTGCTTGATAAATCAGATATAAAAGATGTATTATTCAATGATGAAATTAATGGAAGTGAAAATCACAATTCTCTGGTGATGTCGTGATTTATTACACTACATTTCTTGTCAATTTTACTTTTTAAAATTTTTGTCCATATGTATGAATATTTAAGAAATTGATTTCTAAAATTTTATTACAAATTTTTAAGTAATGTGGTGCTATTTGTTGAAGGTATTTGCAGGCTATAAAAATATAGGTAAATTACATTGATTTTCCTTCAAGTTTCGGAAAAAATTACACAGTTTTGGTCTTTCTATCTATCTATAGTTTTCAATAAGATTTGAAGCAAAACTTGAGTTTCAAGACCACCTAAAATAATCATCAAATGCATAAACCAAGATCAAAGACAATGGGTATAGCAAGTATGCCACCAAGGATGTCCAAATGGGAAATTTGGAGCTGAAACTTGCAGTGAAACCCATTATCACACAGACGATCAAAATCATCAGTACTTCGGCTGAGAAATCCCATGACAATCCGCGGAAATAAATTAATGATAAAAGGACTGAAAATCCAAGAATATTGTTCATGAACACCGAACCATAGATCTGCAACAGAGAAAATCAATATGTCACGACACAACTTATAAAAGCCTCCAAAGATGTCTCTTTTATGGTTTATGAATCACACATTTATGCTAATATTGTTCATGAACAACACTAAAGTGTTTTTTTTTTTTTTAACCATGAAGCACATTCAATTTACTAATATTTTATCTAGTGAGAAAGAATCATTTTTGTGAAATTTGTTTATGTACATGGAATGATTATGTCAATTTCATATGAAATTAATGGTATGATTACATATAGACATAAAAAAAACTAAAATTTAAGGAGGCAAAAAAAAAGAAAACCATTCTAACTATTATGTTTTCTAGTTCTAGTTTTCCTTGTTTTGCTTCAAATGGAGATACAAAAGAAGGAACAGACCTCTGAGAATGTTAGAGAAGTAGTTCTTGGATTCTTCCAACTCGCGGCTTTGATAGCTGATATTGAACCTCTAGCATTGGTAGCCAATGGGACTAGGATAAATGCTACGAAGAAAGATGGTATGCTTGCTGATTTGGAGAAGTATTGAACACTATGGATCAGTGGTTCTGCTAGAACTCCTAATAGAGCAATTCCTACCACCAAAAGCATTATAGCCTTTATCCATGCCCATGGAGATGTATCAACACGTCTATCCTCTACCAACATGTCTGTCTCTTCCCATTTTTTCTGCATAACCCAAAAAATTTCTGATCAGAATAGTGATAACTAGTGATGCAGTGGTGACTGACAATAAATTCATTGAGAAGTTTGAAAGAAAAAAAAATGTATTATAAATGAAATCACAAATTTTATATCTTATAAGGGCAAAAATGACAATTATACAGAAAAAATCTATTTTACAGCTTATTTACCAAACACTACTCTGCTGCTTAAATCCATAATCTCACAGCTGCATCAAACAGGTTACCAGCTTCTGTTCACAGTTGTAAGTTATAATCTTTTAAGTTATAATCTATAATCACTTTCGCACAGCTCTATCAAGCGGGGCTATTGGCCTTGTTTGACAAAGTTTTTTGTTTTTTTTGTTTTCTTTTTGAGGTAAAATTCACAAAAAGACAAAATGGACTAAAATAGTCAATAACATAAAATGTCACGACAAATCTATAATCATTTCACTTTTTTCTCATAAGCATCACATCCAACTATAAAAAAAATTCAATCATCTTCCCAAATTCAAATATTTTAGCCTACTAAAATAGTCTAAAACTAAAATAGCCTACTAAAATAGTCAACCCCTCAAACGAAGCCATTAAACATATTGATTAGATATTAAAAGACTAATAACTATCTATTACATGATAGCTATCCAAAAATATCTATTAATAACAAACAATTATATGAGAATCATACAAAAATATCAACAAAGCAACCAACCGTTATATGACTATTATGTAAACACATACTAGAAATTAATTAGATAAAAAAAATGTAAAATATTTATAATTTTTATATAATTTTATCTTTAGTGAGTAGAAATAATTTTTAAAAATTTAAAAATAAATTTTTGATATTTATTTTTGTCAAACTAGTTTATATTTTATTAAATTGATGATTTTGCCTTTGAAATAAAGTAACGATATCTTCAATTGTCTTTATTAAAATGATGTTTAAAATTCATGGTCAAATGTATCACAATTAAAAGGTCAGGAATCAAAGTGACACAAGTTCCAATTACAAAGGCTGTTAATGTAATTTGCCAAAAAAAAAAATCATTCAAAACTTTAAAACTATTTTTAAAATATACAATCAAATAAATTTTTAAAATTTATAAACTCTTTTCAAAAAATTATTTTTTATAAAAACAAAGTAAACATGGCCTTTATTATTGCAACTTCGAAGTTCAGACATTTAAGACCTGTTTGGTAACTATTTCGTTTTTAGTTTATATTAACAAAAATTTTAAAGCTGTCATAAAAATTTATTTGATAATTTTTTTGTATTATAAATGGTTGACTAAGTTTATAAATGTGAGGAAAAAATTTAAACTCAAAAAATGATTTTACGTTAGTTTTTAAACAGAAATTTAAAATTTTGACTAACAAACTTTTTTTTCAATTATTTTTTTGCAATTAATTTTTTTTTGTTCAATTATAATTTGTATGATCTCATTGTCATAAATAATAAAAATTAAATATAAATATTTTAGATTTGAATAAACATATTTTTTAGTTTATATTTTTAAAACTTTTTAAAATATATTATTCAAACGCGTTTATAATTTATGTTTTTTTAAAAATAAATAAAAACCTATTTATAAACTTTTTGTAAATATTAAAAAAAAAAAAAAAAACGTAAACGTTATCTAACGTTTTACTATTTACTACTCCCTCCGTCTCAAAATATTAGTCCCTTATTCAATTTTTCATTGTCCCAAAACATTAGTCCCTCTTTATAAATCAAGTACAAAAATAATGTAAATTTCCTATTTTGCCCTTCTTTTAAACTAATAAACAATTTAAAAAGTACAATTATGACATTAATATTCCCAAAAAATGTACTATCAAAAGGGTAATTTTGGAAAGGGTTTGGTTATGGTGTGCAACTTACACCTTACACCTTATACCTTACACTTACACCTTACACTTACACCTTTTGTAAAAAATTAAACCTTACACTTACACCTTTTTTGAGGTTGCACACCATATGCAACCCACTTACACCTTACACCTTACACCTTACACTTACACCTTACACTTATACTTACACCTTACACTTACACTTTTTGTGTAAGTGGCACATGGTGTGCACTTGCACACTTAAGAAAACTCCATAAATCAAATATTACAATGTCAGGAGTTTTACAGATATCTTTAGCCATCACATGTGCTGGGTGAACTAAGCAAAACTGGACTTTTCTAATAATTTGGTTTGATTAGGTAATTGATTTTTATTTTTGTTTTTTGAATTTTTCAATAAATAATAATAAAAAAAAGAATAAGTTGATATTTTATAAATTTTTAACTAATTTAATCACGTTCCAAATAAAGTCTTAATTTTTTTTTGAACACGAAAATAAAGTCTTAATTTAATATCTAGCCCCAAAACACCAAAATATTTAACACATACACACCACGAGCTAGAGCTATATTAAAAATCATTTTATTAAACTGAAATAATATATGCATGAATATAGTGCTTGTACTATTAGTTCCATCAATGTAGGTGCACGACTAATCCTCATGACCCAATTAAAAAAGTTCGATCATAAATGCCTAAATTGAATACCTGATAGAAGAAGTATGCGAGAAGGAATGCAACGGAAATAACTAGAGTGAATATGATGACAATACGTTCCCCAGAAGAAAATAAATGGGAAATTTTTGGGATTTGGATGATTATAAATGGTATGACAGAGAGAACCATAATCCTTGCAGTGTAACTAGCCTCCACATCTGTAGTTATACCATGACCTATAAAAAAATGAAAATACAAAGCACAAAAAATTTAGTTTAATTTCATTCAAGTACTTACAAATAAAAATATATATATATATATCAATCAACAAGCGAAGAGAAGAAGAGAGAGCGAACCAGTTGAGAATGAAAACAATCTCCAAAATGGGTTTTGTGTAGTAGGATTTGAATTGACTGAAGGATTAGACTCAGAATTTTTGGAAAAGTTTTGACTGCCAACAATAACACATGTTCCCCAAAGTAAAGTGAGAAGCAAGATTGTTGAGCCAGCCAGTAAGCCAACACCGGTATAGACATACTCTTGCGCCGTCTCTTTACTGCCCATAAGTCCAGAAGCTGAGAACAAAACATTAATAACAAAAAAAATTAAAAATTTAATACAGAAGAAGAAGAAGAAGAGGAAGAAAAAGAAGAAGAAGAAGAAGAAGAAAATATATAGTTGCAACAGCAATTTACTGAGAGCACTCGTTTTAAGCATTGTTTTTAGGCTATCCAGTAATGTTCTACTAGGAAGTTCTACTTCTATAGCTGAGTTTTGACAATTTCAAAACAATACAGCAATTTTTACTAACGCAGTGATCTTACTCTAATTTTGTATAGGCCAAAATACACTGATAGTCCATGTACTTCGAGTCTTGTGTCACTTTTGTCATTATACTTTCAATTGGCTCAATTTCGGTCCAATTGATTATACCCATTAGATGGAAAGAGCGCACGTGAATGGTCATGTGTCATGTTTTTAGGAGCAATATTTGTAAACTTGCTCAAAGTAGTGAGTTAACCTCTACCAACGCAGTGATTATTTTTCGTAAAAAATCCCAACCAATGTCATCAATTGAATCAAATTGACGCAAAATTAAAATTAAGTGACAAAACTAAGTCGATTAAAAGTGTAGTAGGGACCAAAATAATACAAAAAACAAAATGCAGGAACAATCGTTGTAATCTATCTCTCTGCTTTTAGTTTAATTTGATCAAGCAATGAATCAAATATGACATGTATATATTTGTCTTGTTGTCAAACATTGTGTTTCATTAAATCACTCAATTTAAAAAATCTGATATACATAAAGATATCTGGGCCCCTTATCATAGAAAAGTTTTGCTAAAAGTCAGTCAATACAACACATCACAGCCTGTGCCGTATTTATTTAAGTTCTTCCAAAATAGTACCAGAAAAAGACTTATCAAAGGCCTTATCTATTAAGAAGCCATCTTAAGAAATAGTTTTTTTTTCTTCAAAAACAAAAAAAAAGAAAAGAAAGAAAATACGATCAGTGCATAACAATCCTCCTTAAACGTGAGCATAATTTTTAATCATAGAAAAAGAACATGATTGCTTTAAAATCAAGGAATCTCTATGGCTGTAACAAGACATATTATACTAACACAACTTGAAGTATTCAAGAGAGCACTAATCAAAGTTGAGTATGGAAGCAAAACCATTTGTTTGGTGGAAACCATTTTTTGAAAAATGTTTTTTATATTTTGTGTTGTTCGGTATGACAAAAAAACAAAGTTAACAGGAAATATTTTTAGCTGTCAACGGAAACAAATTTTTTTAGGTGCAAAATATTTTTCACTTTTATAGATAAAAACCATTTTCTGAACTAAATTCTTACTCATGCCACCACCACCAACACCACACAACCACCATTGCCACCACTATCACCACCATCAGTATCCCCGCCTTTAAGATCGCAATTTTGAAATTTGTTTTTTACCAGAAAACATTGTTTGCAAGAAAATGTTTTCCACCAAAAAAGAAATAATGAAAAAACCCACAAATGCAAGAAAATTGACGGGAAACAAGTAGGTTTGCAGTCATCTATCTCAATGAAGATTAGAAAAAGGAAGAAGAAAGAAACAAAGCTGCAGAGTATAAAAAAAAACACAATAGTTTGGGTAACACAATAGTAAATAATACCAAGTAGAATTAAGGACTCTGGGAGGGAATCAAGAACATGGAATGCACTTGCACCAAAGATTCCAGGCCCAAGAATCTTGAAAATCCGCTCGCCCCCAGAATTAACATAACTCTCTCCATGAAACAACAGGTACTCATACACCAAAATCAGGAACAGATGGCCTAGAGGAGTGTATGAACAAGGCAAAAAACCATACATTTGCTCACACTCTTCTTCTGAATCCAATCCTTTGAGAAGTAGAAAGGAGGATTGATTGCCTTCAACGTGATCGATGCCATCTGAAATTGAATCAGAAGAACTATATCGCAAGAATCGGCTTCTCACCTTGGCTGCAAACAGAAATAGAATGAAAGCATAATATGTAGTTTTTGTGAAATTTCTCATTTTTTGTAAAATGAATGGAGGGAAATGAAAAATGAGAGCAATAAATAGCCAATTTTGTGTGTTGGCTTTCTCTAATATATGATTTATCTCTCTGACTCTGATCGTGTGATAAAGAGAGAGCTTCAAATTGAGGGACAGAAGAAGTGGAACAGAGATCTAATTCCTTAGAAACGGGGGTTTATTGACAATTCATTGGATGAGATTATTTAAAGTCAAAGTTGGCTTAGTTATTTATATGGGTTTGGTAGTACTTATGGAAAAAATATTAAATACTAAGCACGAGGTTTAATACCAAAAGAAAGACAAAGTAAGAAGTTATCTGCAATAATTTCATATATACTTCAATTATTGGCTAGCTTCTCTACCATGCTTTAAGTCTTATGTATTGTCTACCTCTCTCTTGCCTTCCTCAGTTCCTCCATTTTTGCATATTTATTATACATAAATGTTTGTATGTTATGTGTATTATGTTTTCAAGTGACCTCACCAATTGTGGAACTAGTTGGATCAACCTTAAATTTTGATTGGATGACAAAAGGCAAAGTGCATCAGAACCTTCATTTTAGTCTTCATCTCTTTCTAGATCAGATATATCAGTAGCAGCCTAAGACCACTGGAGATGTTAAAAATGTTATAAAAGTGGGATGTATTTTTGTGTGTAAAGTGTTTGTTATTTTAATGAGTAGATTAGTACTCTGATGAAGGTGCTAATGGACTACTGAACTTAATTGGGCTAGAAGTCTAACACTGCGTTTGGTTGGAAGATTTGAGTAAAAATTTGAAAAGAAAAAAAAAAAAGTTGGGTGAAATATAAATAAAATATATCTACATTTCACCCAATTTCACACACTTTTTCCCTTTCCCTTTCCAATTCAAATTTTAACTCAGTCTAAAAATTTTAACTCCAGATTAATCTTGTATTTCGATAAACACTGGGCAAGTTTTAAAATTTTAGGGGTTGGCCTTGAGTTGCTTAGGATAGGCCCACCCTGCCTGGCTGCTTGGAGCATGTCTGCGTCATGAGATTGGAGTGAGTAATGTTTGTTAGCTAATGGACTATATGTAACCCATTTGTTGGGATGATTCTATTTGCACTTAAATAGTAACTCTGTACATTCAAATAAAATTTAAAATTTTAATTTTTATTATACTCTATATAAATTTATTAAATTTTAAAATAAAATATTATTTTTGTTTTTATGGTACACTCTAATCAAATATTCTTCATATTCAAATCTATTCATATTCTATCTTAAATTTCAATTATTTTCTCTTTATCTTCTTACTTACTCTAAAACTCCAATCCATCTTGAGAGGGTAATTTATGCTTAAATTGGGCCAAGGTAAGAAAGCCCGTGGGAATGGGCCGAGGTAGATAAAGTCTTGGGCCGAACCACGGACCGAGATAATTATCTCGGTAGCCTTGGTCACATTAGATCGGTCAGAGCTGGGGTTCTCTATGTTTGGTCTAACTATAGTGACCGAGGTAGCTGTGATTTGAACCAAGCTAAAAGATAGCTCGGCTGAGGCAACTCCAAAGACTAGGTTGACTGAGTTGGCTTATTCTGCACCGAGCTGTGTTAGCGCGGTTATGCTTTGTGCCAACTGAAGTAAGAGTTGCAGTTATCTCACTTTGATAAGCAGTGGGTAAAGAGTTATCAGGATAAGCTTTATCTTTGGGCATGAGACTCTTAGTAGGACTCTGCAAAGGAGAGTAGAGTCCTACTGAGATTGTGCAAACCATCTCACTTGGTTGGAAGTGAGTAGGGTGTGTGATTCCTAGTAGGACTCTTATAAGGAGAGTTAGAATCCTACTAGGATTTTATCAGGTAAAATCTATTAAAGCTCATGGCAGGACCTATGTACAGGTATCACAATTCTTATTCTTGAATACACAGAGCTTTTCTGTCTTTTGTCTATTTGCTGACTTAGGCATCGGAGGGGTTTTCAGCACACACCCGGCGGCTAGCTCACGTTTGTGTTTTCAGGAAGTAAAGCGACTATGTTTGGAGGAGTGCAAACTTGATCAACAGGATTATACAAGAAGAATTATTTCGTGCTCGTACAATTGGCGTTGTCTGTGGGAATACACAAAGAACAAAACCTTTTGATCGAGTTTTCCTCTCTAGTCAAAATCAATGGCGCACAATGAAGACTTGCCACAATTCGCTATTGACGGGTAAACTCCGGAGGGGAGTGGGAGGCGCGAAGGTTTACCTTCTATCCCACCCATGGCAGAATTAGAACCCCAGCGACGGAACTCCCGGAGGGACACACGGGAGAGATGGGGCACTAGTCCTCGTCATTCTCAAAGTCCTGAAAGACAAAGGCGGAGGTTGGATCCTCAAGTTATGGAGGATCACGTAAGGGAGTAAGACAAGTTAATAAGGAGGATGGCGGCAGACATAGAGACCATGAAGCGCCAGATAAAGGAAAAAGGGGTGGCGACAGAAGAATGGCGTAAAGGCAACACGCCCTCTTACCACTCAGAAGATCGTGACAGACATGTCACACCATCGCAAGCAGAAAGTCAGAGCCTTAGAACAAGCGACACTCAATTAAGGACTTCCAGGACTCATTACTCTTGGTCTGAGAGAACGAGGACTGAACGGTCGTTTACAGAGGGAAGCAGCTATCGGCCCTCGCACACGCACCAAACGACTTCCAGGCACACAGAGTTGCCTAGGTCAGCAGATCTGCGAACAGTGCTCGAGGAGAAGGCCCGGTGAAAGGAGGACACCAGGGCTCGCGACCCTTGCAGAGTTTCAACCCTACAGCGATTGGCCTCTAGGACACATGGGAGTGTCGAGATAGGGATGCCAATACCGCGCCTTGCCTATGAACCATCGGATAAAGTATTAGCAAGGTTTCAAAGTTCGCCATTCGTTCTGGCAATTAAGAACGCACCACTTCCCTCAGGCTTCCACCAGCCCAAATTCACCACTTATGAGGGGAAGTCAGAGCCCTACATGCACTTAAGCCACTTTCGCCAGGTTATGGCAGTATGCCGGCGAAACGAGGCTCTAATGTGTATCCTATTTCCATCCAGCCTTGGCGACCTAGATCTAACTTGGTTCGAAAGGCTGCCTGAAGGTAGCATAGCCTCATGGGCACAATTGGCAGAAGCGTTCGGAACAAGATTCAGAATGAATACCAAGACACCAGTGGAGATTGACTAGCTACTCTCCATTGACATGGGCGAAAAGGAGACATTAAGGTCTTACAACAGTCGATATTGGGAGACTTTCAACCAGATTGGGGATTGCCCTACAAATCTCGCCATCGCACAATACGAAAGGGGTCTACCAGTCGGTAACAAATTAAGGGACTCAATGACAATGATGCTACCTCTCACGATGGAAGCCCTAATAGAGAGAGTGCATCAACATATCCGGGTAGAAGAAGATAGCACCCGTGCTAAAGAAAAATCTGGTACAACAACTATGCCAGATAAAAAGACTACAGCAAAAATCAACACGGTAGAATAACCTAGCAAGAATGGACGAGGCAGGCGAGCCAAGAGAGAAGACCCAGAAACGAGGAGGTTAAGAGTCCGCACCGCCATTACCACAGTATTCAACAAACCTATTGTAGACACCCCATTTTTTACTGACCTTAAGACTCAGACGTCATCGATTGAGCGCTCGATGATTACGCATGTTGTGCTCGTTCTGAGGTTACGGAGTCTCGGCTGAGAGCCTTGCCTCCGGACTTCGGGACTCTTTTGTGCTTTGCCTCAGTTTGCGAACCAGGTTCTATTTTCTTTTCCTGAAGGGAGGGAGAGGCCTCGTAGACCATCTCTCAGTGGCCGTAGGCTACTCTTCGTGGTCGTTGGCCACTTTTCCCGTTTGGAGACCAGTTTTTGATTTTCGAAGCCGTCGGCCGTGCGCCTCGGTTCGAGACCGCTTAACTTTCTCCGTTTGCTCTAGTTTTTGGCACACACCTTGTTTCCTCTCTCTAGAGGGACACTGTGGCCCGAGAGACCACCTTCGTGGTCGCACGCCACTTTCGATGCTTAACAGTCAGTTTTCGGGGCACTCGCTGCGCGTTTTGGCCGCCGAACCCTCGTTTTGCATCCGTCTTGGTTCATTTTTGGCATGGACCCTATTTTCATTGTTTGAAAGGTGGTACAAGGGTGGGAGACCACCTTTTCTTCTTGGAGACCACTTTTCCCGCCGGCTGATTTTTCTTGTCAGGTAGCTGGTCTCCCTGATTTTTGAGCCACAATTACTGGTCTCCCACCATACCACTAGCTTGCATTGAGTTAGGAGACCACCCCTAGAGGCTGCCGACTAGCTTTTGAAGCTTGAACCTTTCAACCCTGGTCGGTCGACCAGGGCAGGTGGTCAGCCGACCACTTGAACTGGTCGGCCAGCTTCCTCCTTTTCTGTCTCTGTGAATGTGTGCCAGCTGTGCCAGCTGGAAGGCACAAACAGCATCCTCCATACACGTGTATAGAGGATTGGCAACCTTGTTTTGGCTTCTTAAAGAAGCTTGGCCCTTTGCTCTAAGCTTCTAAGAGAAGCTTGAACCCTTTTTAGCTTCTTGAAGAAGCTTGACCCTTTTTGCTATAGCTTCCTTAAGAAGTTTGACCCTTTTTGCTATAGCTTCCTCAAGAAGCTTGGATCTTTGCACAAACTTCTTGAAGAAGATTGGACCTTTGTTCCTCTATAAGAGAGGCTCTCTTCTTCCTTAGGGAGGGTTCAGAAATTTGTTGAAGGAAAAGTATATCTCCCTCTCTATATCTCTACACTTAGGCTTAGAAAGTGCATAGTTCTTGGCCCTTTTACACTACACCTCCTAGCCTAACACCTCCACCATCAACCTAAGCTCCTTAGAGGTCATTCTCAGAGGTTAAAGGTTGAGTTTTGGTCCAGAGGTGTGCTGTTTTGTTGAAGCTTCAAGGGTAACACACCATTTCCCTCTTTTTAGCATTATTTTGATCCATCTTTTAACCTTATTTTCAAGCATATTTGAGCTTTGGTGTAAACTAAAAAAGGTCTTATTATGAGGTCCTTAACATGTTTGTTTGAGACAATTTTTCTGTTGGGGGTCATCTACCCCCTTGCGTGCTTCATTTCATCTTGCTTTAAGCCATGCATTAGGGCCTTTGTGTTGAGCTTTGTTGGCCCTTTTGACCACTAAAATCCAGCGGATTTTCAGTGGTTAAAATGTGTTTTTGAGTACCAAAATCAGAGAGGGGTGACCCTCTCACCCCTTGTCTTGTTTACTAGCACTTTTGGCCTAACAAAGGTGACCCT